CCCCAAAACCCCAAAACCCCAAAACCCCAAAGTTTTAATTATTTGGTCAGTTGGAAATGTGATAATTTAAATCTAATCTTAAATTTGCTCAATTTTATTAGAATGGTTGAAAGTCAATCAGACTTCCTGAGGCCAACTTTATTTCAGCAAAAGTTTGAAAATTCATTTAATAAATGGGAAAGGCTTATCGCTCTTGGAGATACTTTCTCAGCTAGATCTGGTCACACTAGTATCTTAGATGAAACTAACAAGAAAATTTATGTATTTGGCGGGTATAATGGGTCTGACATGTTGAATGATGTATTCATCTTCGACATTGAATAGTCATCATGGACTGAAGTTTAATACACTGAGGAAGATTTAATTACCCATCCTAGAGCTAGATCATCTCATGCTTGCTGTCTTGATACTGATTATAAGGATAGATTTTATATGTATGGAGGTACTGGTAAGAATTTAGGTCAAGAAAACTTTAATGATTTGTGGGTGTTTGAAATTAGGACGCTGAAATTTCGAGAAATTAATCAATCAAAGATTAATAAACCCTCTGGTTCTTATGGACATTCTCTTAATTATTTCGAAAATGCTCTCTATCTTTTTGGTGGAACTAATGGATTTGATTATTATAAGAACTTGCTGAGATTTGATCTACTGTAGTTTTAATGGTAAAAGATTTAAGTAACTGGTCTTGAGCCTGAACCTCGATATAAGCACTGTGCCTTAATCTAAGAAAAGTAAAATAAACTTATTATACTAGGTGGAATTAATCAAGCTAAAAGACTAGGCAACATTTTAGAGTTTTCCTTTGACAAGCTTTAATGGACTCTATAACCTCTAAATAAAAATAAGCAGTTCTTTAAGGGTAGGTATGGCCACAGCACTAACATTGTCACTGGAGATTTAATGGATAAGCCTTACCTGCTAATTTTCGGAGGCTCTGAAGATAAGCAAAAAGATGACTTGATTGTTTATGAACTTAAAAGTGGTAATTTTAATAAGTAAGCAATCCTGGACGAGGAAAGTGCACCAACATCTAGAGACTTTCATAGTTCAGTACTCTTTGATAATTAACTCTATATAATTGGGGTAATTACCAGTTTATTAATAATTTTAGGGAAGTGATAACACAGGGAAGTTAAATGAGATATATAGATTTACATTAGAATAATAAAGTCCTGAATCTACTCTCTAAAATGATCTGGTAAAATATTATTAAGATGCTTAATAAAATTAGGGGAGTTTGTTGCTCTATTGTGATGAGTAGAAAATCTTTCATGATTTGACAATTATTGTATATGATGAAACTCAAAGTAAAATAATTGGTAACTTGTATTCAAATCACGCTCTAATCAAAATCAAAGCTCCTTCTCTCTCAAGAAAATGTACATAACTAGATGTTAGAAATAAAGAACTTAGACTCAACATTAGTTCACATAAAATAGCTAGATACTTGCTATAATATATCTACACAAATCGAATTGAATTTATAAGCAATTTCTCAAGAAAAGGCCAATAAGAAGACACTAAATAATTCCTGCAATCTTTGATGGAACTCAACATATTCGCTTTATAGAATGAAATGATAGACTCTTGAAATATGTATCTGTATACATTGTCAGGCATATTTCAATTCAACAGATTGGTATCATTAGCCAGCATTTCAAATCTCTTCAAGATTTACTTAAATCAGACTAGTCTGAAAAGGGCAAAGAGCTAAATCAAATCGCTTAGAACCTATATAGAACATGTAAGAAATTTCTACTTTAGAATTATGAGTATTACCAAAAGACTATTTACTATGGTGAACTCCCAAGTGATATAGTGAATGAGATCAGCGATTTAAAGTTGAAAAACCAGTCTAAATAATTAAAGGCGAAGGGCAAATCACCTTATGGACAAGTAGTATAGAATCTTCCAAAGGTAACTTTAGAAGAATAAATACAAGTTAACTCTAATCTATTCACTGTCAATCCGCAACAAAAAGAAGAAGAATTCACCAACTAAATGATAAGACTTTATAATGATTCAACTTCATATGACTTTACCTTGCAATCAATAGACAATGAGACAGTTTAGATTCGTGTTCATCTCTTCGTATTAGTAGCGAGATGTGACTATTTCAAAGGCTTGATTGATTCTGGAATGCTGGAGACTTAAAACTTCACATCTAAATTTAGTTTGAAACCAGGGATAAATTTCGACATATTTAAGCTGTTTTTAAAGTTCATTTACTTCGATAGAGATGCGTTTCCAACAACGAAATAATCATCTATACAATCTCAAGCTCTTCTAACCCTAGATGAAACTCTTTATCTTCTTGATTTAAATAGCTTCTACTGCCTCAGTAATGATAGATTCAAACTACTATGTGAATAGAGATTGAGTGGATCTATTGATAAATATAACATTATGTAAATTCTAGATATGGCTGAAAAATTGAATGCCAAAAAGATTAAGGACATTGCAATTGACTATATAAGTTCAAATTTTGATATTTTTTCAACAGATGCAATGGCTAATCAGCTTTATTAACTTGAAAAAGAGCTTTTGATTGAGATTATTAAGGCTAAAGCAGAAAAAGAATATAATTAAAAATGAATATATTAATCAACAATGAAGACGTAGATCATCAAAAGGGGTTTTGGGGTTTTGGGG